GAAGCAGGATTGTGTTGTTCCAACTCTGGAGTGACTGTGCATATACCTGCAAGCACACGTGTATGCTGCCGTCTCCACCTAACATCAGTTCTAGCCCCAAAGATGGGTTATAGCAAGTGAGTGCAATAGACTGTGGAATGACCTTTTGGAAGAGATTTGATAGCTAAATCAGCTGTCAGAATTTAAGAGAGAACTGAAAACCTATCTCTTCTGGCACCCCTACCCAGTCAATTTTAAACTATGAATTTTAAGGTCACGTCCTATGTCTACTGTACTTTTATCTTTGTTCTGTATATTTTAATATGTGTATTTCATAGAAATACATTATAATATATGTATTTTACTTAATGTTTTATGATTACGTGTTTTCCTCAAGCCATAAGGAAGGATGGGTCAGAAATAAAAGTATTCTTAATAATAATAATAATAATAATAATACAACTGTTTTGGTTCGCTCCTGTCATGGTGAATAAATAAATATTATTATTAATTCAAATTTTAAGTAGCCATTTAATATAAGACATATTAAACAATATAAGACATAAGAAATGTAGAAATAATCCAACCACAGGCCAACTTTAAAAAAATAAAATCTCTTTAAGAGCAAGAGAGAGTTATCATGTGGATTTCCAAGGAGACGACATTTCAGACATATAGGACCATCAGAAAAAAATCTCTATCCTTGATGCTCAGCAACAATATAACCCCAAAGTAAAGGTATGGATGAACACAGCAGTATCCACATCTACATCTATACATACAGTGGGATGCAAGTGGTGAGTATCAGTGCAATTAGCTCTTCAAATAGCCTCATCTCAAGCAGCTTAAGCAAAAAAAGTAGACGCTACAGCCCTCCCAGGCTCTGAACGACAATCCTTCACAATCTCCTAGCACTGCTCCAATGGATAGACTCATACAAAGGGTAGCCCAAGACAATGGGAGGACCAAAGGTTCTCCACCTCATTTCAAGCCTTAAAAGATCAATAGTAGTACTTAACTAGAATGATAGCATCATTATAACGTTGTGCTTGCGAAAACTATATAACCAAGATCATGTTAGTTGGCTTTAGGAAAGACTGCACAAATTAATCTGTTAACATTCTTCAAAGATAGGCAAAAAATATCCATGTGCATAAGCAGGACAGATCTGACTACTGGATGTCTGGATGGAGGGGGAGAACTTGCACTATCAAGCCTTGACTGTAAGCATTAGGCCAGGGACTAGTGGAAACAAGTCACCAGAACCGATTTTGACTGAAAGCCAGTTTATCAGCAGAACTCTAGTCCAACAGCAGCAGGTTTAATAAGTCCATCGGTAGCTGGAGAAACAGAGAAATCTGTCACCATGGGGAGAGAAAGCCGTCAGATCTCACTGTCATCATTGCAGCGTCTGGCTTCCAGGTGGCCCCAAAATTAAAGACACTCTTGAAAGACTGCCTTGGAAACTTGCCAGCATAGGAAAAGTTATTTCAAGAGTATCATTAGCAACAAGAATCCATCCAGAAGCCAGAAGTTGCAAAACCATGCTGCTAAGAGCTGGAAGCTCCATTTCTAGATGGCAACAATGATGGTTCTCTCTGCCTTCTGCTACTGCCACCATGGAACCCTAAAATAAGTGCAACATACTAGTGTAACGGTTTCTTGTGCAAGCATAGTACAAGAAGCTTCTGGCCTTTATGTATTTTATTCATCACACTACATTTCTCTGGAACAGGGATGGGCAAGACGGAAGTCTAGGAGTCACATTCACTTTCAATTTCAGGAAGCCTCCAGAGCTCCAGCCACTCCTGGTAAAGCTAATTATGAGATGTGAGGGAGAGGAGATAAAAGACAGAACTGCACCCCAGGAAACAATGTTCCTTTCAAAATGCAAACTCCCCAAAGGGCCTTATTTGCCATCTAAAAAAAAAAATCAAAAGTATTCTATGTCCAGTTTCAAGAATAGGGAGTAATACAGCCTGAAGCAATTCAGAAATGCGTGATAAAATAGGTCTTCTGAAGCTTCTGGTCCTTATTTTAGAAGACGGGTGGGAATCACATGGCCCTCCAGATGCTGTTGCAGTCCAATTCTCAGCATCTCTCAGTTTAAGCTATACTGCTGCAGGCTGCTGGGATTTGCTATCCAATCATATCTGGAAGGTCACATGATTGATGCCCCTGCTTTGGGAGCTCCTTTTTGCTTTCTTTCACTTTCATTTCCTTATCTGCCAAATTCCAAAACATAAAACATTCAATTCAGAATGTAAATATTCAGAACTGAGGGTGCTTGGGAAAATATACCACATGAGTAACAGTCCATATGGTTTAGCATTTGGCTTGTTGGCATAAAAGAACTGCATTTAAATACCCACACCCAGGAAAAAAAGGAACCAAAACATTCATTCTTGAAAGGGAGGGAGTAAAAATAGTGTTTATTCCCAGGCATGTGCAAAGAACTGAACCTTTGTCACTCTCCAAACCTATAGAGAGATGTTTGCAGCTTGTGGCTTCTACGTTTAATTAACACCATACCGTAGGGTGCACTGAACAAATAACATAAACAGATGTAAACCACAAATCAAGCATCACTTAAGTAGAGTTCCTGGAGGGGCAGTTTAGGGGGATTTTTACTGCCATGCATCATGCCAGTTGATGGCTCAGTCACCCCCGCCCCCCAAATAAGAACTCTAAAAGTTTTTTAACATCTAGCTTATATTCTGAGCAACACAATATTCTGAATACATTAAAAATACTTTATTTTTACATTAAGTGCATGTGCCTACTCAAGTTTGTACAGAACATTTCACCTTTCTGCATAAAATCCAGTCACGAAGAATAGCTCATCAGGAATTCATACAAATACTTCTTTAGGTGCTATTCCTCTAGGTAGCTAAAGAATGGTTCCAACTTTTGGGCAAATGTTGAGTATACTAATTGAGTCTGAAATACACTGTTTCATTCAACATACATGAACATGTGTTATTTAGGGAAATCATGTCTTTGGATTCACTTGACATCTCTACAAATGATGCCACTGCCCCTTGGTAGTTAAGCTACTACTTGGATTACTTAGAAACATATTACCCATGCTCTCCAAACACAGCATCAAATTTAAAAGAGAATTTGCATTGCTACTAGCACTCTTACCCAGAGGTGATCAAGATATTTTGCCACCACAGGCAAACATGACAGTGAATTTTACTCCGAAGTTGGGATAAAAAAGTGCTCTCCACCATGCCTAAGCAGAACAGGTTGTCAGGGGGTTTTGATACAAGCTTCGTGGCAAATAACCTTGCCCCCTTAGTCTTTCTTCTCTTAGAAGAAAAATACTATTTGACTAATCACATCTCCCCTTACAGAGCAACTCAGACACTGCGGTCACTGGAGGAGGCCCTGCTGTCGGTTCCACCCCTGTCTCAAGCATGGCTGGTTAGGACAAGAGAAAAGGCCTTCTCCATGATCATCCTCCCCCCCCCCCCCCCCCCCCCCCCCCCCGTTTCTGGAACTGCCTCCCTAAGGAAATAAGATGCCCCCCTCCCTCCTCACTTTAAAAAAACCCTGAAAACATACTTCTGCTCATTGGTTTATGGTTTTGTATGAAGAGGAAGGGGACTAGATAATGATTAGATAAATCAAGAAATAGTTTTCTAAAATCTACAGAGATACTTGCAGGTACACCTCAGCAAGAAAGAATCCAAAAGTGGCAGCCTAAAACCCAGAACTTCAAGCCATGGCTGATTCCGAATGAGAGATTCCCTCCTGGGCACACAGAAGACTGGGCAACTTGGAAGGCATGGAACAGACTATGCTCTGCCGCCACGAGATGCAGAGCCAACCTTAAGAAATGGGGCCACAAAGTGGAGTCCACGACATGAGAGAGTGGAGAAGAGCAAACCACAGACCACCAATTACAATGTAGTCTGAGCTCTATCACATAAACAATGGAGGACCTTCTTATAGAGGCACTCAAGTAGCCAGCTCCTGTTCAAAGGACATTTAGTATAATGCCAAGTTTTTAAACTTCGTATGCGGTTTTAAATATTTATTTATTTATTTACTCCGCTTTTATCCCGCCCTTTTCAGCCCGAAGGCGACTCAGGCGACGTACAAGCAGGCAACAATTAGATACTGAACACACATAAATACATCATTTAAAACAGGTGAAATCACATAACAAAATTCGTAATAAAAACCGTTTAAAACAATAAAAAATACAACTGTATCCTCAATTCGTTTCTGACACAATGTTTGCCTTTTTGTGATTGGAATCTGCCCTGAGATAGGGCGGAATATAAATAAAGTTATAATATTATTATAAATTATTATTATTATTATTATTATTATTATTATTAGTAGTAGTAGTAGTAGTAGTAGTATTAATATTAGTACAACGCAGCATAGTTCATTCTAACCCTAATAACAATTTCCAAATGGTACCCTGAGACATATTGATTTGGGATTAGTTGTTCAGGTCCTTTGCTATGTATAAGGCTGCATTAAGAGCAGCTGTATCTCAGATTAAGGTCAACGGAAACATTCTGAAGAATAGCAAAACACCACTGAATGATGGACCTAAATTAAAACAGTCAAAAGAATGTTGGTGCTAAGAAATTTGCTGACAAACAGGTCCCAAGCAAATAGATAGCCACACGCCCAGGGCATGGGTTTCCACCTTTTGGCAAGTTTCTTCAAAACAAATCATATTCTAAAGTAGAAATGGGGAATCTTTGGCTCTCCAGGTATTTATGTATGATTATTCCAAAATGCTCTTTTCTATTTATTGGCAATGTGGTTACAACTGAAGGGAGCTATGATTTAGCAATACTTGAAGGGACACATATTCCCTTAAAAGCCACCTATTATATGTTGCAAAGAGCTGTGGTCAGGACTCAAGCCAAAGAGGAAACCTCGGAGCTGACATCTTTAAACTCAATAGAGCATGCTACATACGCGTATTTTAAACACATTCACATATCTCAATTTCTCCCCACCCACATTGTCATCTTATTACTGGCTCTCACCTGTGCATGTTTCCATTGGTGGTAAATGACTGATCACAGACTGAACACTTATAAGGCCTTTCACCAGAATGCACCAACATGTGGCGATCGAGGGAGCTGGCAGAGCTCAAAGACTTTCCACAGATGCTGCAGGAATGGTCTGTCCCACCAGTGTCAGTGTTATGCTAAAGGAAGCAAGATTTTTTTTTAATTTGAGATTTTCTTGTACCATATCAAGGACATAGCAATATATCACAATCACTACTATCATCATCATTGAAGGTTCAGTGCAATCATCATTTAGTACCTGTGTTAATTACACACATCCTTCTAATTCTCTGGTTTATGTTTTGACCTAAGAGTAAAGAATACTGTAAGGGATCACTGAACACCACAATGATATTGTCACTCAAGCAAGAAGAAAAAATGAGAATGCAAATACATCAAATTCTCAATGTTTGAAAGGCCATCATACAGAAGTCTGGGTAGGACTGTGGCTCTTTTCTTTAAGTATTACATGGATGGATCTACTGCTGAATGTGAATGGTCACAGTTTGAGGTTGCATGAAACAGAAGTAGGCAACCTGATGTCACCCGGGTGCATCTACACTGTAGAATTGCTACTTTAACTGTTATGAGTCAGTGGTATGAAATATGGGAGTTATAGTTTTACAAAGTCTTTATCTTTCCTTGCCCAAAGTGCTGGTGCCTCACCAAACTACAACTTCCTTGTTTCCACAGCATTGACCCACAACAGTTAAAGTTGTGTCAAAGTGCATCAACTATACAGTCTAGATGTACCCCGAGATGTTTAAGCCTAAAACTCCCAAAGGTCTTAGCTAAACCAGCCTATAGACAGGGATTATGGGAACTGTAATACACAGACTTCGCAAGGGACATCCAGTTGCCTGCTTCACAATGAGTCAATCAGAAAAAAATGAAACAGGGGGACTAACTGGAAGTGATACATCCTTTTTCTGAATGTGCGTATCAAGCCCTTAGAAAAGAACCTTAGGAATCATGTAATGCAGCCTTTCCCAGTCTTTCTGATGTGTTGTACTACAATTCCCATGTACAACTTCTCAGCAACACACTCAGATGGCAGCTTTAGGATGTTACTGGAGCTGCCATTAGTCTCATGGTCAAATTGTGCTTGTTCAGAAGCACAGTTTGGAAAAAACTTTAGGGGAGCAGAACTCATCTGAATAACTCATACAAGTGGCAGATGCTCCTCATTTCAGGTCATCAAGATCACACAAATTGCAAGATGTTCCACATGTGGCTTCACAGTTTTCACTCAAAAGGCTTCTGTGTGTGGCCCAGGTGTGAATATTGCTTATTCCTGCAAAATTGGTTTTCAGCTCATCCTAGACATGAGCTAGCTAAGAATGAAAGTCTAATGACTTAAACCTTTTAACAACAGATTTCCATCTAGTCTTCCATTTTGGAAAAACTGTCAAGAAACCCATTGCTGAAAAGAGTTTCCGGATTTCAACTGACTGAAATCTTTCTTCTCCCTTATGCTCAAATCATTATATTTTTGCCTTCACTCTGCTACGTGAACAGTCGTAAAAGCATCTGTTATGTCCCATCTCAACTTTAATGTTCTGTCTTCCAAAAGCTGACAATCCTCAACTTCTGCTTGCCTCGCACACATTTCTTCACTTCCTAACTGCTGAGATCACCAATTCCTCTTCACGTCCCATTAAAATGCTACTTTACTGCAAAACAGACTAGAACTCAACAGTGCTGGGGTGACTCAGTGGTGAACACAGCAATGAAGTGGGGTGACATACGGACATCTGTGTTCCTCTGTGTTGGTTTCCAAGGAGAACGGAAGGTGACAAGAGGAAGCAACATGATGCCCTCCATATGTTTTGAACCGATCTCAAAATTTTGGGGAATCAGCCATGATAGGTAGAGTTTATGGCAAGTTGTAGGCCAAAACATCAAGAGGGAATCGGTATGGCACAGCTCCCAGTTGTACTTTCCACGAGCTTCTATAATGTTTGGTCCAGGAAGTATCCAACATCTAAGGCAGTGGTTCTCAACCTGTGGGTTCCCAGGTGTTTTGGCCTACAACTCCCAGAAATCCCAGCCAGTTTACCAACTGTTAGGAATTCTGGGAGTTGAAGACCAAAACATCTGGGGACCTACAGGTTGAGAACCACTGGTCTAAGGACATGACCCATAGAGCATGTAGTTAATGAAAATATCTCCCTAGAAAATGTTCACATATCCATGAAGTTTTCACTCATCCAGCTATTATGCACATTGTTCTAAACCCAGTCCTCTGTGGAACTGAAGAACCTTTTAAAAGCTTGTGATTATTTCACACCACCATAGAAGAACATTTCCAGGTCTGGATGTCTCAACTAGTTTACTGTGATAGGAATAGGAAGAACCTCTCACTGTGATTTTTTTTTTTAAATATGAACTTACCTGGCGAATGTGCATAGTCAGATGATGTTGGGTAGTGCAAACTTTTTCACACAGAGGACAAATATAGGAAGACTTGTCATCTTTTGTTTCCTGTTTTATAAAACAAAGTTACATATGAAAATCTAAACAACTTTGCATAGCCCAATTCTAAATAATAATAATAATAATAACAACAACACCAACAACACAAAATCCAGCATATAGATCTGGTTTGCTGTGACATACTGTGTTTTTGTGTCAGTAAAATAATAAAATAATAATAATAAACAACAATATATTTATATCGCACTTTTCTCTCTTAAAGGAGACTTAAAGCGGATTTAAAAAGGTTTGGCTGTTCATTATTTACTGAAATAATATCTCAGGATTCAAACACCATGTAAAAGATTCAATATCTTTCTCCCTCACATTCATATAGATATGATATACAGTATAGAGAAAGCTACATGGGAAATTACTCTAAACCAATCATCATCATCATCATCATCATCATCATCATCATCATCATCATCTCTATTTATATCCCACCACCATCTTCCCAAAGGAACTCAAGGTAGCTTACAAAGGGACTCCAGGGTGCAGCATATAACATAAAATGGTACATAAGTATAAAACAATAACATATAAAATCATAACAACAACCACTACCAACACACATAACATAAAATAAAATTGCTCAATTTTAAAACGCAGAACCACCGTATATAAAAACAAGCTGCCAGCAATTCACAACTAAAGTGCCAGAGTGTCAACCTCATATAGGACCATTACAGCCTACTCAAGGTCAAAGGCCTGTTTAAAAATCCATTTCTGAAGAAATTCTGAAGTCCTGGCCAGTGTTGGAGCATTTGGGGAGGAAAATTATCACAATGCTGTTTCTGCCAGATATGTCAGACCAGGCCTACTGGGTCTGAACAAAGGACTACCTCTGTTTCCAATGGCTGTGCTAATAGCTCTGGGAAGTACACAAGCAGGAAACTAATGCAGCACCAGTACTCTGCTTGCGTTCTATAGAAACTAGCACTTGGGGCCACTGTGCCTCTGATCTAGGAGGAAGCTGGCTTTCACTCTTCATGAATTTGCCTAATCCCCCCTTTTTAAGGCTATGCTAGTAACATTACAACATCGTGTGGTGACAAATTCAACTGTTTAACTATGCACAGCATGAAAAAAGAAACACTTCCTTTTGTCCTCCTTGAATCTCCCGCAGTCAGTTTCATTGTCTGATACTGGATTCTGGCATTACTTTTATTTATTTTTTGCCAGGCCGGGGTTGTGGGGGGTGGGGTGGGGTGCTATCTTCTCATTGACTCTCAATACACCTTGCATAAATGGTCTTTCTTGTGATTTTGCTGTGGGGAACCTGACCAAATAACATGATACACAGCTGTAAAACAGGACATAACTGTCCTGTAATAACAATACAACACAAAAAGTATAAGACTAAAGAAGGTAGTGGTTTTCAAGTTTTGTCTGTACATAGAATACACTGATTTCCCTGCCACACTGATGAACACTGCAGAAGATTCTCAGTCATTTTTCAGGAATTCTGTATATTTGAGATTCTAGCAATTGTCCATATGGCTCACCCAACAGAAGCCAAAATTCTGGCCTTCGGATAAAACCAACACTACCAGAAATAGTATGATTTAAGTGAAGGTCAGTAATGGAAGAGTATTGCCCCATCACTCCTGACCTTCCAGTAAACTTTTGAACAATCCCAAATGGGGAGGAGGACTATAGAGAGAAAGGGAATGTGGTATATATTCTAAATCAGTGGTTCCCAACCTGTGGTCCATGGACCACCAGTGGTCTGCAAGAACTAAAATATGGTCCGTGGCCTCACTGTTGCTACACCGTTGCAACAAGAGCAACTTGTCTAGCAAAACCCTCTTATAGTGTTGAAGCTTGTTAAATATGGTTTTCTGTGGGAGAACAGATGGTGACCACTGGATGGCATGTGTTCTGTATCAGAAACTAGAGCTGATATGGCCTATCCAATGCAATTTTCTGAATCAGCACCCCAAATAACCAAACCAAATCTAAAGTTGACCAAAAACTGATTCGTATCCCTTTTGGTACTAATGTTGGAGAATGGTCCCTGGTCAAAAAAAGGTTGGGAATCACTGTTCTCAACTGTAAGGATGGGCAGAGCCAAACCAAGATATTCTGCAGCTCAAAACTATATTTAAGAAGGTCATGGTATCACCCTCTAGTCCAGTGGCTCCCAACCTTTTTTTTTTACCAGTGCCCACTTGACCAGGGACCACTTTGACTAGGGACCTCTCTCCAACATTAGTACCAAAAAGGTTATGAATCAGTCATTGGTCATTTAGATTCAGTTTGGTTATTTGGGATGCTGATTCAGAAAACTGCATTGGATACACCACATCAGCTCTATTTCTGATACAGAACATATGCCATCCAGTAGTCACCATCTGCTCACCCACAGAAAACTGTATTTTAATAATCTAGAGCTGCGGACCTTATTTTAGGTCTCACAGCCCACCACAGGTTGCGAACCACTGCTCTAGTCCTTTAAACCATATCTGGCAGGTTTTCAATCCCTTTTTCATTTTTGAGGCTCTAGGCCAGGATGGACAACTGTGAAAGACTAGGAGGGATGCATAGGAGATCCTGGAGAACTGACCCCTTATATCTGTCCCCTCAAAAAAAATCAGTGTTTGCTCTCAAATGCCCTTCAGGGATATTTTAAGTCCAATAATAGTTTTTTGTTTTTTGGTTTTTTTTTTAATAATGGGAAGTGAGTAGAAGTCCAGTGGAACCCTCAAATGTGGTGGGCATGCATTTGGGAACAAAAAAAATTGAAATGTTTTGCAAAAAGTCAAAATCAAGATCCCATCTTTCTTATTTCAAGGATGTTTAAATCTAGGGGGGTATCATTACATAGATTTTATCTAGATGCACATCATTACATAGATTCTATATGCTGGCATGAAATGGAGCTCTGGAACTAACTCCTAAAGCTTCATCTTATTAACTCTCATCCAATCTATACAGATGTCATGCATCAGTTAAGAACAGAAACAGCTTCCTTGGAATTAAGTGGTAAGGATTAGTAGAGCTGGGTATCATCAGCATACTGGGGGTATCTGTATTCTGACAGCTTCCATTTGCTCCCAGATGCCTGCCAATTCACATATGCTTCTTTACACAACTCTGGTGTATTCTTGGCGTTGCATGGAGAAGCATCCGGCTTCTGTATTTTCCTCTCCATCCCATGCTAGCTGTACCTATTACCTGACTCATTCAGCCTAAAATCTAGATCTCAGTACTGAATTTTAAATACGGACTTCATTGCTATAACAATACTTGGCCAAGCTACTGGACTTTTTATCTCTACCATGCCCTATTTTTATACCACCTAGCCTAACAAAGAGTTCCAGGAAACACAAAAAGTTTGACTGCTTTTATGGAATTTTACCTGGTCCTCACTGAAGTTCTGTCCTGTACGCACTGGATTTCACTACCATGTTCCCAGTCTATGACCTTTTGTAACAACTTCCTAAACACATTTATACAGTCATTTCCTTTCAGCTGTTTTTAGATTCCTTTCAAAGAAAACAAAAGGTGGTAATACCTGTGCATCTTGCATAAAGGTTTTTCCAAGGACCTTTTGCATCGATATAGAATAGCCTTCAAGTCCAGATTTACTGCAGCCCTGTTCAATGTAGGCTCAAAGTGGGGAAAATCCTTGCAGCTCTGCTGCTCATCTAGATGCCTAATCCTCTGGGCTTCTCTGTGTAATCACACTACATTTTCCCTGGTGCAGAAAGGCTAGCACTCTAGGCAATGCTGTTAATTGTTTTGAACCTTGCTTTCTGACACTCAGCCTTTTGAAATCAGCACATAAACAAGCTAGGAGCAACATGGAAAAGGCAATTCAGCCAGAATTGATTACTGCAAGCCATAGGGTTTAACATTAGCTCAGTAAAGCCCAATCCAAAGTCTCCGCCAGCTGCCTCCCTTTTTCCCCTCACTCTCATTCAGGATCTGGAGCTACTGAATATCTGTAACAGCAATGAAGCAAAACCAAGAGTAGCTAAGAGAGAGGATTTGTGTAAAACACCAATATTTTGGCACAACTTCTATAAAACAATTCAGCTGGAGAATTTTCAGGCGCAGCAGTGGGCTGCCGGACAGGAGCTGTGCTGACTGTGGACGTGAACTTCTCCAAGTCAGAGACTAGATTAGCAGCTAATTTGATAACAAGTCTGGCTTTTATTAAAGTGACCTGGCATTGCCCTACTGATGGCAAATGCTGTTTGGGAATTCTGTGTCACATTATACTTCCCTTCCCCTTTTATGAAACTACAGAGCTTGGAAAAGGTACTCTTTTCAGATTACAACCCTTACCCTGGTGCCCCTTGAAGATTCTGCGGACTGAAGTCCAAAAATAACATTAATTAAGTTCGGAATGGAGAGTCAATTTTTCTAACATGGCTAACAATACTGCCACAGTAAGAACAGCTGAAACAGAGCTATGGACAGCAGTGAAATCTAAGTATTACCCCCCTCTCAAGTTGTGTATATACTCAAGTATAAGCCGGGCCGAATATAAGCCGCGGCACCTAATTTTACCACAAAACTGGGAACAGGTATTGACTCGAGTATAAGTCGAGCGTGGGAAATGCAGCAGCTACTGTTAAATTTCAAAATAAATATAGATGCCAAGAAAATTACATTGAGGCATCAGTAGGTTAAATGTTTTCAAATATTTATATAAATATTTAAGATAAGACTGTCCAACTCTGATTAAACCATTATTCTAATCTTCTTCAATGTAAATGTGCTTACGTATCCTTCCAATAATAATAGAGTAAAAATAAATGTAATATAATAATAATGAGTAAAATAACGGAAATGTAATTATAACAGTAATAATGATGATAAATAGAGTAACATAATAAATGTAATAAAAATAACAATTACAGAGTAAAATAATAAATAACCGTGACTCGAGTATACGCCAAGGGAGGCTTTCTCAGCCTAAAAAGGGGCTGAAAAAACTCGGCTTATACTCAAGTATATACGGTAATTGTCTGGGTAATATTTTTTTTAAATGTATTAATCTTGAAAATGCCACTCTCTCATTGAATAGAGGAGCACTGTTCTGGAATAAGAGGAGCAGTCTTGTGGGTTAAGTACCATAACAATAAAATAATGAAAACCATCATTAGGTGACCTGCTTGCTGGCACCTGTTGAGGTACCTCAGGGTGACTTTAACAGCATGCCCAATTTGTGCTGAACTTCTATGCTGACTGCCAGAGAAAGCAACTCTTGGATGTCCTCCTTGATTTATTTATTTATTTGTATAGTGCAAGCATCCCTCTTAATCCTGTCACATTTACTCTCTTGATCTAATGCCCAGTGAAACGGCTGGTGGAATTAAAAGGTCAATGGCTCCAAGCGAAAGCCACTCACAACTGAGCCAGCCAATCCACCCCTCTGTCTCGCTCATGCTTTTCCTACATGGTGTGGCATGATATGCTTTGACCACCCACCAAATCCGAAAACCATATTTGTGCTACCTAAGGCAATCTCACGGAGAAGTCAATGGCTCTCTATTTCAACACTACATTCTGCAAAGTGTACTGCAGAGCAATAATAAAATAACAATAAAACTTTATTTGTTCCCCGCCACCATCTCCCTGAAGGGACTCGGGACAGCTATCCAAAGTGCTCAAGGTGCCACACATAAAACAGAATTACATATCATCCAATCAATACACAATTTGACTGAATACAAACAATGGACAACATCAATTGATAAAATTTAAAAATTTAAAAATTGTAAAACCCAGTCATAGTTGTGGGCCATTGGGTTTCTTTAAACGTGAATTAAAGGGCTGAATCACAATGGCTGATGTCATCACATAACCATAGTACATTACTCCAGGTCAAAGGCCTAGGTAAATGGCCATGTTTTTAGGCTTGAACATAAGGTTTGGAGATTTGGGGCTAATCTAATTTCTCTAGGGAGGCATTCCAGAGCCGAGGAGCCACCATCGAGAAGACCCACACTCTCATCCCCACCAACCACACCTGTGACGGTGGTGGGACTGAGTGAAGGGTCTCCCCACCAGTTCATAGAAGGAGATGTGATCTCGAAGATAGGTTGGATCCGAAGAGTATAGGGCTTTATAGGTAATAACCTGCACTTTGAATTGGGCCCGGAAACTTGTCGGGAGCCAGTGGAGCTGCTTTAATAGGGGCGTGGTTTGCTCCCTATAGCTAGCCCCAGTTAGTAATCTGGCAGCTGACCTTTGTACCCCACATAGAGTGCATTACAATAGTCCATTTTGGATGTAACTAAGGAGTGGACCACCTAGGCCAAGTCAGGCTTTTTGAGGTACGGTCGCAACAAGCGCACAAGTTTTAACTGTGCAAATGCCCACTCAGCCACTGCCGATACCTGAGTTTCAAGTGTCAGCAATGAATCCAGTGTCAGCAATGACACTGAAGCCCTGTGTCCTCAGGGGGAGCGTAACCCCATCGAGCACAAGTTGCCACTCTATACCCCAATCAGCCTCGTGGCTGACGAGGAGGACCACTGTCTTGTCTGGATTAAGCCTCAACTTGTTGGCCCTCATCCAGTCCATCACAGCTGCCAGGCACTCATCCATGAGTATGCTTTGATATGATCCTCAAGGATCTAAGATTTCTCATTATCCATTGCAAACTAAACCAGGCTTTAAGGTCAATGTTGGGAAATCTCAAATAAACTATCATTTGAGAGCTACAAGGAAGAAAGCCTAGAAGAAAGCAACAACAGACTCCTATTCCTTCTGCAGAAAGACCTTATTATAAAAAAGGAACAGGGAGGTAGAGCTGGTAGACAATACAAGACAGAGACTGGGAGACTTTGGCCCTCCAGATATTTTGGGCTCAGTATGATAGATTATGGCACATGTGGCTCATAACATCTGGAGTGCCAATGATTCACTAGGGTCTGGCAAAAGAAAAGGGAGAAACGCAAAAGCTTAACAGGCTCACTGACATGTCACAGCTCTTGCAATCATATTCTCAGCCTGGGCCAGCCCTGATATCTGGGGAAAAAGAGTAGATTGCTTCAGATTGAAAAATTCTGGTGCCATGAAACGGTGGCAGATAGAAAAAAAACATTTTATTATGCTTTCATTGCTAGAAAAGGCCATGATAACTTGTAGAATTATCTGTTTCATGTACCAAACTTAACTATGCACTGGGGTGAGGGTGGCATTTTTTGTCCTACTTCACAAATCAAAATGTCTACATACAGCCCTATTTCCAGTCATCACGACAATTATTTAACAATGACAATAACACCGGTGGATGTTGTGCCTTGTTTACAAGCATGAACAATAACATCTCCTTGTATGAGAACGTGTCCAAAGCTTGTCAGGATTGTCACAGTGTAAGTGAGCAAACCTGTATGAGCTGGATCTGTTCATACATAAAGCTGCTAAATCCATAATGGTTGGAGTAAATGACTTTGTGACAGAATTCAACAGGAAGAAGGCTAGGAAAGGGTTGGTTACCCCAAAATATGGCACTCCTACATAACAAAAATGCTCATTTTTACCTGATTTCTCCTGCCAATCCGATTGGGAGCAAGAGGTTTTGATGGGGATTTGATGTTCGGAGTTGCTGCGGTGCCATTTTCAGCAATGTTCCCCAAGCTCATGATGGCTGCCATCATTATGTCAAGAAGAGGCAAATCCACGCCTCCAGAATACTTTGGGAACTCTGTTGCTGTTGCAGAACTGCTCAAGCTCCTGGGTTTGTTCTCTAAAATTATAAAGAGAAAAAAATTGAAATGAATTATTGAAATTGAGAATCTGGTGTGTTCATGGAAATAGTAAGTCTAGGTATCTCAACATTATTACACACTGCTGTAAGCAGCATCACCACTTATTTTTAAGGCAGACATTACCTTCATTTTCCTTTGTTGACACTTGTTTGGTGAGGTTTCCTTCCTTCCTGCTTTCCTGTTTTAGTATTTAGAAATCGAACACCACCTAGATACCCAATCTTCTCCTTGGTAGCACCTATTAAGTGAGAAGGCAAAGAGAATGGGAGAGATTAGATTTTTGATGTGTGCTTCAGTTGCATTAATATGATGCAGCACACATGTTAAACCCAAATAACGTTAAGACAAAAGAATTCAACCAGACACACATTTTTCAGAAACTAAAGTACATCACAACAAACTGAGGAAGAATGTATTGTCGAAGGCTTTCATGGCTGGAATCACTGGGTTGTTGTAGGTTTTTCGGGCTATATGGCCATGTTTTAGAAGCATTCTCTCCAAATGTTTCACCTACATATGTGGTAAGCATCCTCAGAGGTGGTGAGGATCTCACAACCTCTGAGGATTCTTGCCATAGATGCAGGCGAAACGTCAGGAGAGAATGCTTCTAGAACATGGCCATATAGCCTGAAAAACCTTTAACAACTCAAAGTGAGGAAGAACCCAAGATGCCTCTTGATACTTGTGGGTGGTGAAAAAATATTAACAACGTATTAGCTATCATCAGTTGTTCCCTTTCTCGAAACACTTTGAAAATTTTAGTGGCTTGTCAAAATATATGAGATCTTCTGACTTTTTTCATTCCATCACCTGAGAGATGCATAGGAACCCCTGATTTCAAGAATGCTTCCATGTACAATAATACAGAGACATGATAGTGGTATGATGAAGGACAAGAGAAAACAACAAGAGCAAAAAAGGGCATTGACAACATCATTTTTAGCAAACAGGTCCAACTGATGAAAACTGAGTACTGCTGAATACTGGCTTGCTACCTCTGTTGAAAAAAAAGTTAAGAAAAGAAGGAAAATTGGAAGTCAGTCTTGGTAGCCATCTAAGATGGGGGCAAAGATTTCATATGGCGCTCTAAAAAACTTTACATTAGCATAAAAGGAAACCAAGAGAGCTAGCTCCATAAGAGAGCTAGCTCCATAAGAATGCACTCAACTGCAACAAATAGCAGGGTATACATTTAAGGGTTGAACTGAATTCCACATAGGTTCCAGTGGTGTTTGGGACTATAGAGAGATACCAGCTCTTACTGTTGGTTATCTCTATTTTGCTTAAAGTTCTCAAGAGAGGCCATTTGGGGTTTTTTGGAACAAGAAATGAATTTATAAAGGAACTGGTCAGCTACCAAATAGGGAAGGGGGTGAAGCTATCTAATGAAGTCCAGAAGACCAGATTTGGCAGCATGGCCTGGGATACTCCTCCCTTAGGATGCAAAGCCAGCATGGCATTGTAGTTTGAGCTTTTGACAATGACTGTGGAGGCCAGGATTCAAATCCCTGCTCAGCCATGGAAACTTACTAGGTGACATTTGGCAAGTCACCTAGTTACTTTAAGATCTTCTGGGGAGGCTATGTTCTCTGTCCTGCCTCCGTCGCAAATTCGTAGGGATGAGAGACAGGGCCTTCTCAGTGGTGGCTCCTCGTCTCTGGAACTCCCTCCCCAGCGAAATTAGATCAGTACCCTCCCTCCTGATCTTTAGAAAGAGAACAAAGATGTGGTTGCAGGACCAACCCATTGGTTAGTAAAATAATGCAATGCAAAAAAAATAATTAAGGAATGGCATTCCAGGCTATGGTGTACAATTTTTTTCATCATGTGATTTTATTATTTATACCAGGATGATTTTAATGCTTTGAATGTTCGATTTTTATATCCTATGTTTAATGGTTTTAATGATTTTAAGTTAGTTATATGAAGTGATTAGTTATTATGATTATGATTTACTGTATGTTGGCATTGAATTTTTGCCATTAGTATGTTGTAAACCTTGAGTCCCCCCAGAGGTTAGAAAGGCGGTATATAAATACAGTAAATAGACAAATAAACAAATAGACATTCTCTCACCCTCAGAGTAAGGGAAGGACAAACCCTTCTGATCACATCTTAACAGGAAAACTCTTATAGGCTCACCTGAAGGTTGTAGTAAGTAGAAAATGACTTGGCACACAACAAGATGTACTGTGTGATGGACAGTGAGATTTTATTTGTTTGCTTCCTGCATATTTTATACGCACATTAAACATCTGGCTTGTTTTTTCACAGTTTGGTTTTGATTTTGATCTACAGTATAAATACCCCAAAGGCACCAGCTCCTGTTTTATACTGGAAGCTAAACACTTTCAGTTCTAGTTAGTTGTTGGGCAGGAGACCATAAAATAAATCAGGTGCTGTACACTATTATTTCAATGGAAGAAACTGGAAAAATCACCTCTGACTATACCTTGCCTAAGAAAATCTTATGGAATTCATGGGGCTGTCAAAAGTCCCATATACACACACATTTAGGCATCCTCTGGAGTCCTTAGGCCAGTGATGGGCAATCTTTTGAGCTTGGTGTGTCAACATTTGCCAAAAACCTGAGCATAACTTGGGTAGAGTGTCACTTCGAGAAAAAAACCATAATTTTGCAATATTTATAGTTTAAATAAGAAAAATGTATAATCCATGCTGAGTTATGAAGTGAACAATGCTCAAGCGTGCAGATGTTAAATTTGCAGAGCCTTTTACAAAGTTAAGGATGGAATTAGATTGGCTCTTATAAGGTGTATTTCTCTGTATGTGTCTGTGTGTCATCAAAAATAGCCATGCGTGTCAGTGCTGACACACGTGTCATAGGTTCACCATCACGGCCTTAGGCCAATGCTCAGCAACACCTTTAATGATAATTTATGCCACTGAAAATGTGGAGAGAAGGCTGACAATGCTGGAGAAATGCATGTTTTTTTATGGCCACATTCTCATGAAACATTTCCCTGAGGAAATTGACCTTTGTCCTCAAGAAGTGAATTCCCAGGACATTCATGTACTCTTGATAAAAGCTAGACAGAAAAGGACCATTTGCACTGCCAAGAAATAGACCCATTTATATGAAGGGCATAGGGGGAAAGAGAAAGAGGGAGAGAGAGAAGTATTATCAGAGGTTAAAGTTCAGAAGAATGCTCAAGTGTTTTCAGATCCTGGCACTATGAAGAAAAGGCAAGCATGAACCAACCATAAGATCTGAGATCTGTTGTAGACTTGAAGTAAATGAAAAGTTGGCTTTTGACAAACGCTAACCCTAAAGTAATGCCATAATAGTGAGCCAGAAGCTAAACATGCATACCAAGGATGAGACGGGGGAATTTAACCAAATATGTTTTAAAATGGTACAAAGGGATTACTATTTTTCATTCTTTTTCAACAGAAAGCCATTTTGCTAAATTTATTTCTTCCTTTGGGCTTTTTTTTTAAAGACTGTATGGTGAAAACCAGCCTTTCCTCTATTTTCTGAATGCCCTCTCAGGAGGGCACCAAACTGAATTCAACAAGACTTACTGCCATGGAAGGTTGCACAAGACTGCAGCCTCCATATCCCCTATTGCAAACTCTATCATTCTATGCATATATATAAAGAGAGGGAGAGGGATGGAGGGAGAGAGAGAGAGAGAGAGAACACAAATAAAATGATACAAATTATTCTATCTTTCTCTGCCATCATGCAAATCAATATTTTCCTTCACTAGTGATTAAAGAAAAGCATCATTCTGACGTGCTCTTATTTATTTAGGAAATTTTCATGACGTCTTTCTCCAGGGGGACCCAAGGTGGCTTATATCATTTTAAGAACATCGTAACATAAAACCATCAACTAAAAAACAAGTACCATATATACTTAAGTATAAGCTGAGATTTTCAGCCCCTTTTTAGGCTGAAAAAACCCACCTTGTCTTATACTCGAGTCAAAGTTATTTGTTATTTTATTGTTATTATTTTTATTGCCAACTTTATTATTTTTGTTATTACATTTATTATTCTACTCTATTATTATCATTACTATTACTTTTATTTCATTTATAGGTCACCTTTATTATTTTTGTTATTATTACATTTATTATTTTATTCTATTATTATCATTACTATTACTATTATTACATTTATAGGATATGTAAGCACACTTATATTGAAGAAGGTTAGATAGTGTTATCTTAAATTACAGTTTTATGTAAATATTCTAAAACATTTAACCTATCGATGCCTCAATGTAATTTTATTGGTGTCTATTTTTATTTTGAAATTTACCAGTAGCTGCTGCCTTTCTCACCCTCAGCTTATACTCACTTTCCCAGAGTCCCTTGAATAGAATTTTATTTATTACTATTATTATTTTATTATTATTTACACCATTTTTACCCCGTCCTTCTCACCCCCGAAGGGGGATTCTGGGCGGCTAACACAGGCAAGTTTACACTCATCGACACACATTTGTTCTGATAGTCTATGCTTATGCTAGAGCAGGTAGGAAGCACAAAGCAAATCTAGAGAGAACAAAGAGAGAGGACAAGAACCACCTGAAATTCACAGAAAACACACACCCATTTTCTTTCTTTTTCTAATTTTTCCTCTCTTCCACCCTCAGGTCCCCGTTTAGTGCTAAAAGACTCAAGTCTATTGTAATCACGATAGAAATAGAGGGATATACCCATTATCAACAACGAAAAGCTCTCGTCCACAAAAAAGCAATTACATTTGTTTGCATGATACTTCCCACTCCTGTTTTCTCGAGTGTGTTTATGTGTGCACACATGCATATCTTCAGGTTACCTGTCAACATATGGTGACCTCATGAATTTCATGGGATTTTCTTAAACAAGGAATACACCCAAGGTAGTTTGCCTTTATCTTCCTCTAACGGGTGAATCTGGCAAATCTAAAGAGCTTCAGGAATTAATTTTATACATATCCTAACTTTCTTCCAAAGGATGTTTTCATACCACACTTCACACACATGGTATAAAGCAATGGTCCCAACCTTTGGTCCTCCAGTTGTTTTGGACTTCAACTCCCAGAAATCCCAGCCAACTTAGGAAGTGTGGGAGCTGAAGTCCAAAACACCTGGATGACCAAAGGCTGGGAACCACTGGTATAAAGGAAACTGAGGCACAGGCCACCTATGGGTTTTTTACTATGATGACTTGTCACCCGTGATTGGGATTGGGGGCATTCAATGGAACTAATATTCTCCAAACAGCAGGGCCATGGATTGAGATACCTGAAACACCTCACAAGCTGCAATCTTTACCGGCATTCTTGCTATGAGAATATAAATTGAAATCCTCTTTTAAAAAGCAGGGACTTATTTCTTGATAAGCATGCATAGGCCTGGGTTGCAATGAGATCGCCAGCTCTTTACACTCTTATTTTAAGTACAACAGGTTGAAAATAATTTCCACGGTAATTTATTTATTTATTTATTTAAAGCATTTCTATTCCGCCCTTCTCACCCCGAAGGGGACTCAGGGTGGAGCACAACATATAAACGGGGCAAACATTCAATGCTGAAACATATTATACCATACACATACAAAAGCATTAAAATAACATATCTCGATGTTAAAATGCACTAGATAAAACTGTCTCAACAACCATATCGGATTTGGTTGGCATACTAAGGGTTCCTATCGCTGCCTCATTGCACAGTCCCAAAGGCTCAGTCACACAGCCAGGTTTTTATCATCCTTCCAAAGGACAAGAGGGAGGGGGCTGACCTGATCTCATTAGGAAGGGAGTTCCATAACCGGGGGCAATCACTGAGAAGGCCCTGTCTCTCGTCCCCACCAAACACGCCTGTGATGGTGGCGCGACCAAGAGCAGGGCCTCCCCAGAAGAGCTTAGTCTTCACAGTGGTTTGTAAAGGGAGATGCGTTCAGACAGGTAAACTGGCCCAGGGCCATTTAGGGCTTTATAGGCCAAAGCCAGCACTTTGAATTGTGCCCAGTAGCAAACAGGCAGCTAGTGGAGCTGGCGTAACATGGGAGTTGTGTGCTCCCTGTATGCCGCCCCAGTTATTAACCTGGCTGCCTCTCGTTGGACTATTTGAAGCTTCCGAGCAGTCTTCAAAGGCAACCCCATGTAGAGGGCATTGCAGTAATCTAACCTAGATGTGACAAGAGCATGGACCACCGTGGCCAAGTCTGACTTCCCAAGGTACGGATGCAACTGGCGCACAAGTTTTAATTGTGCAAAAGCCCCCCTAGCCCCGCTGCAACCTGAGATTCCAGGCTGTTTGTCATTTCCCAGTGAACAGCTTGAATCCAATTGATAGTCTCAACTACATAAATCTCATTGATTTAGAGGATCTACTCTAGTTGGATCTACCATTTGGATTTGGGTTAATGAGTTTCAAGACCAGTTTTTTTTATCCTGGCACTAGAAATAGACCCACCATCTTGCAGTGATAATAGAAGTACACCCTTGTACTAGCAGCAGTATATCAGCTGTGGTCAACTATGGAGAAGCCACAGAAAAAAGGAAGATGAATATGAGCCATAGGAGGTTACACAACTCCATTAGTGGCTTTCAGGGTATTAGATCTACAGATACCAAAGTAAGCCGATGCTAGCAACCACCTGTGATTTTCACAACTTCTTTGCAGAAGAAGGCAGTGGTTAGTGCTCCTAGGCAAACACAGATCAGGCTGCCAAAAAGAATATATGTATGGCAATGTAATCAGTGATTCCGTGAAGAATTGAGGCACAGAACACATAATCCACCACCTTAATCATCTATGGGTGTGGTAGTGATTTTTGTTAGTTTCTTTTAAAACACCTATCTGCAAAGAATGGCTTCAAGTGGAGGTGTGGGGAACACACCTGGAATATAATCTCACAAACCACAGAAGGTGGTGAGCAAAAACCAGCATGTACATGCACAAATGCACGGACACACATAAAGAGTTCAAGGGAATTGGTTCCAAGAAAATGTCAGCTTCCTTCCTCGTGTCATTCAAGGACACTGGTGCCGCTTCTTTCCACATGTTTGTAAAGTTTAACAACACGGGGGAGGGACTTGAAAGGCCAACCATTGAAAAGCTCATGCACTACTGCATTTCTTATTCCAGGTGAAAAATGATATAGAAGGAGGAAAGAGCATTTCATGAGGAACTCCTACATTCCTACATCTTACTGTTCCACCAGTAAATGGTCTCAGAAAAAGCGGAAGCATTGCGAAGTCATGAGTCAAACAATATTGTTATCCAGTGAAAAGGATTTTAAGAGACAGTACACAAAAGATTATACTCAGGGCCTAATATGAAGGTGTGTAGGGGTGTTGGGAGATCATTTGCAAAGATAGCTGATACAGCCAGCAAGAATAAATAATGCTAGAATAAAAACATTGACTTTGGTGGAATGGGCAGGGTTTGGGAAACCATATTTTTTGGACTAGAGTTCCCAGAAGCCTTCAGCCCCCAGATTTCAACTGACCTTGGTAATTGTGGATTTAGCTTCTGAGATTATGGTGCAAACAGGTGTAGAGAGATGGTAGAGCGAAAGCAGAGGAATCACCTTAGTGTCAACACAGGAGGAGGGCCAGCACAACACTGCCTAGAATAGAAAAACAAAACAAAACAAAAATACATTAAGGCTCTTCCCCAGCAAAAGTTATGTTTMTAAAGAAATAAAATATTTGGGATTTAACMATGACTGTTGAGAAACTGCCATCTCTCAAAWCTTGTCTACKTCAAAATTGGGAGAGATGTAGCYMGAAAACTACATAYGCTATCCCAWGCCCCTTTGAGAAGACAAAGGATACAAATGTGCAATACAAAATAACTAAACCAYGGACATAAAGYTGAARAAAGRATAGACCATGYAGGAAACACAACTCATTTTTATWCAGGAGCCATAARCACTTTTTWTAAATGCCATAATTGGACACYTWTAAAAGCAGRCYRGTCTGGTGGGAATGAAAGACAGGGCCTTCTCTGTGGTGGCTCCCTYGCTATGGAARTCTCTCCCGAATYAAGTTAGGTCTGCCCCCTCCCTCCTGACCTTCAGGAAGCAATTGAAATCCTGGCTTTGGAATCAGGCATTRGCYGAGTGACGACGGAGACCACAARGTGCYGACTGAGTTRGATGATGTTTTTAACTTGGRGAATGGTTTTATATGTATTTTAATTTTATATGTATTTTTATATGTATTTTTAACCTATTGTTTTATGTATGTTGCTTTAAAATGTTARTTATTGCTTAGCGTTGAATTTTTGCTGCTAGCCATTCGAGTCCCTCCAAGGAGGTAGAGAAGAARGGGATACAAAAGTTCTAAATAATAATAATAATAATAATAATAAATAATYTTATAATAATATTTTTTGTTAGTTTCTAAATAATAATAATATTTTTAAACAGACATTTAGGCTTTTTCTGGTTTTTCAAACAGATATATGAGAGTTAGAGACTGTTTTCAAGTACGAAGGATAGAAAATATCTAGAATACATGTCTGCAAGGTATACAAGGCTGCTAGATACCTGCAGCCACAGGTTACCTAGTCTAGATCAGTGGATGTTGTATTACAGTAATTAAAAGTCAGATGGTGTTGTTACAAAGATTGGAAACTATGAGTATACCTGAATAGACTTGGAACTACTAATATCTATTAGTTCCAGAAGAGGCTTCCATGTTTTGAATATGCTTTGAAATATGAGGGCAACAAAAATGTGCTGTCTTAATCCAAAGATCCAAAACTGCTTGTGCCTGGTACTTGGTATATTCATTTTGTAATAACAGAATGCAAGCCTCTAATTCCCCACAATTTTTGCACTGACTTTTTAACTTCACAACTGACTTAGTTCATGAGAGGCTAAAGAAATCTGACGCTGCACCGAGTCTTTGGAATTTGGAAGTCACTGAAGCTCTAGAAACCTTAGAGCTGGAGGGTAAAAGGGGTTTTCCAAAAATTTCAGTACTGGGGGAGGTAGAGAGGGGCAAGAAAGTTAGTTGGCTTTATGAAGATTCACAGAGCACCATTTCTGCCATACCACCTTGTACAGCTAAAGTGACAATTGGCCAAGTCGTATTTAACCATCCCATCCCATCTCAATAGCCAAACTAACGCAGAATAAATTATTTTAGATTTAAAATATTTTAAACCATCAAATTGTAATGGGCATGATAAAAACTGCTGGCTCTCAACTTTGGTTTGGTTTTATAACATTTTGTAACCTGTTGTCTGAAATGCTCACATGTGCCTTCAAAACTGTACTATTGCTCTGTCTTGTCTACCCAAAGATGGAGTTAGCAGCTTCACAAATGCTAGATTGGGCTGGGGGAGAGAGTCCTGCTTTCCCGTTTGTCTGGACATGTTCTTTAAAGCCTACCGAAACAGGCCAAACCCTTGTTTTCTGGCATCCTCATAGCAGACAAGATAAGCTGGAGAGTTGATTGAACAATAGGAGCTATGAGGCAACATCCTGAGGGAAAACAGTCTCCCTTGTTTCATGCTCATGCAAACAGAGAAGGGGAAGGCTTTGCATAGATAAGGCCTTGGGTTGAATCCTTGACACCCTCCATTTACTTTAAAGAAAGGTGCCTCCTACTTTTGAGAGGCTTTGACTATCATTCCTACCTTCTCCCACCACCTGGTTAGGAGATGAAGAGTTGGAGAAGCTTGGGTGAAGTTGTACTGCATCATAAGACAAGTGGCCCTAAGTCAAGAAAGCGCATGACAAAAGAGCTCGAGGGAAAGACACTCGTTTGCTATATCTTGATTTTTTGTGGGTTTCAGATAACCCACATTAGGAAAAAGGTAGTAAATAAAACCTTTTCCTCAGGATTCATCATGTTGGTATCCCAAAAGCTTTGGAACGCACAACAGATATATGTATCAGATATTATATAATATAGTCATCATTTTACACATTTAAAAAAATACTATCACTACCACTTTATTGGAAGTTGTATACAAAGTTTTTTTCGGGACACTCTTATGTGTAAAGCATATTAGCATTGAGAGGTATGAAAACAAACCCTTAGACATCATGATCAATGTGGGCTAAGTTTAGGCCCACTTTCACCTATCGCTATGGTTTATTATGGAAATACCTTTAGTACCTCTGTTATTCCAATAAGTTCATTTTTATCCTAAAACATGATTCAGAAATGCCTGGCCTGTTGAATATGATAGCTAGGATTTTGAATTATACTATTGAATGTGATAGCTGGGATTTCTAGGAACTGAAATCCAAACATGTGGCAGGCCAACAGCTGTTCTCCAATGCTGTGCTGTAAGCTGCACTTATGTCTTAACAAGCCAAATAACAAACCTAGTAAGTAGGACAGTTGTGCTGTGCATAGCACAGCAATGGCAGTATTAAATTGCTGTATACAAAATTATTTATTAACACATGCTGTTGGTGCTTAAATCTAGTACAGTGGTTTCCAATCCTTGCTTCTCCAGATGTTTTGAATGCGAACTCATAGAAGCCGTGGCCAGCAGTAAGGAATTCTGAGAGCTGATCTCAACTACTGACCTAAGACAAAGTTGGTAGTGCAAATCTAGATAGAAAGGAAATGCCACTAGTATTCTTACTTTCCACTGAGTAGGAGAGAAAAAGTATGTTGGATTGTCATGGAACCAACTGTGTTATCAACATCTCACATGATGTGTGTATGTTTGTGTGTGTGTCAGGGGCAATTTGAGAAACTGCAAGTTGCTTCTGCTGTGAGAGATTTGGCCATCTGCAAGGACGTTGCCCAGAGGACACCTGGATGTTTGATATTTACCATCTTTGAGGGAGATTTCTCTCATGTCCCTGCATGGGGAGCTGAAACTGACAGAGGGAGCTCAGCCCACTCTCCCTAAATTTGAACCTCTGACCTGTCAGTTATCAGTTCTGCCAGCACAAGGGTTTAATCTATTGCACAACCGGGGGGTCCTTATCTCACATGATAGTATTTGCCAATGTACCTGTCTGTGTGTCCAGGGTTATACTATAGATCAGCAGAGGAAATGTATCCAACATTATTAAATTTTACATAGGCAGATCTTTACAGTGGTTTGACACACATTGCTGTAGATGGAGTTTTGCTTGCTTGCAGCAAACAGCTCTTTCTATAAAGACCCTTAGCTTGTAATCTATAGGCAGACTGTTAATATTTATTGAGAAGTATACTCATACAAACATCTTTACTGGAGAAATTAATTGGCAGCAGTCTGGACATTCAGATCTGTTTTCCACCTTGGAACCTTCCAGATGTACAAGACTACAACTACAACCTTCCCTTACTGGAATGGCAAGTTCATAAAGGGGAACAAGCAGAGCTTACAGTTTCTAATCCTCACATGGACTACTGCAGATGCCTCCCTTCTCATTACAAAAAGTTCCCATTCATCTGGATTCATCTGCAGTTGTATGGCATCACTTCTTGGAATCTGTGGTACAGCAAAAGGAAATAAACCTGCAGCTGTTTCAGCCACTCAGTTCCTACAACTCTAGTGGCAAAGGCAAAGGGAGGTAGAGGTTAACGCCAAAAAGAGATTTACGGGAAAGCAGAAGAGTGATGCCAAGCCAGAACTGTTGTAGGCTCCTTTGCTTGGCTAAATAAGGCTCCTGTGTTTCATAAATTGTTTTTGTCAAATGATCATCCCATAGTAATAGGATATTTACAAGAATGTGTGTGTCAGTGCTAAATTTGTAAGGATACGGGACCTCATCACACTAGAGAATGAATCCACTTAAATCCGGTTTCTGCCTCCTGCAGAATTCTGGGATTTGTAGTTTAGGGAGGAGCCTTTAACAGCCTCACTAAACTACAAACCCCAGAATTCTGCAGGAGGCAGAAACCAGATTTAAAGTAGATTCATCTATCTATATAAATAAAAATGTAATGCTAGTTTGTGGGATTAACATAACTGAAAAACCACTGGATGAATTGACACAAAATTTGGACACTACACCCTTAACAGGCCAATGAGTGACCATCACTCATAAACCCCCCCAAAAAAAACCCCCCAGCAAAAACGCCTTAAAAACCCAAAAAGCTAAATGACAAAAAGCTAAATGATACAGAAAAAAAAGGAAAGAAGAGGGAGGGAGGGAGGGAGGGAGGGAGGGAGGGAGGGAGGGAGGGAGGGAGGGAGGGAGGGAAGGAAAGAAAGAAAGAAAGAAAGAAAGAAAGAAAGAAAGAAAGAAAGAAAGAAAGAAAGGGAAGGAAAAGGGAAAGGAAGGAAAGAGGAAGAAGAAGGAAGGAAGGAAGGAAGGAAAAAGGAAGGAAGAAGGAAGAAAGGAAGAAGAAGAGAGAGAAAGAGGAAGGAAAAGAGGAAGATGCAGAAGAGAAGGATGAGAGGGCAAAAGAATGAAAGAAAGAGGAAGAAAAGAAAGGAAAGAGAGGAGAGAAGGAAAGAAAGGAAAGAGAGGAAGGAGGAAGAAAAAGGGGGAAAGGAAGAAGGAAGGAAGGAAGGAGGAAGGAAGAAAGGAGAGAAAGAGGGGGGAAAGGGGAGAAGGAAGGAAAGAGAGAAGGAAAGAAGAAAAGGGAAGGAAGGAAAGAAAGAGGGAGCAAAGGAAGGAGCGAAAGAAGGAGAGAAAGAGGGAGGGCAGGTTGGCCA